TCGTAACCCTGGTTGGTAGAATTTCAGTTAATCAAGTTTTACTATTCAAAGACTTTGGCTTTAAAAGATTTTTCTTTGTCCCTATGGATGCTTTGATGATCTACTAAAGAAAAATTCTATACAACAAATATTACCATATCACATATTTAGACCCCAATCTATGAAATTACTCTTTATAACAAAAGCCTTGTATATGTGATATCAGCATCATAGACTAGGAGAAATAAGCAGAGAAAGAAAGGTGATTTATTCTTCCATTTCCTATTATTAGTATCATTCCTACCTTTGAAAAATAATACTAATAAATTTTCAAATTACACAATATAGCAAGACAATTTTAAAAATCCAGATAAAAGGATATGTAAAAGGAAGTGGTTTACAAGACAAAAAATACTTTTCAAAGACCTTGTTAAATAATTAAAATGGTTTAGTTATTTAACTACATTTAATTCAGTTCATGATGTAATGAAACTGGGTTTCAAGTCTTTTAGCCTTGTGTCCTAAAGATTTTAAAAATACAGAATTCATTTTTATAAAATTCAATTTTTAAAGAACTGTTTTATAAAAAAATTTACCATAAAAGAGTGTCACTGTCATTAACTCTGAAATGAATATTTATGTTTATGAGGAGAGAAAATCAGGTCGATGAAGTGGGGAAGCAGAGTTAAGAGCACTGACTTACAGAGCCAACTTACTTAGATTCAAACCCTGGCTCTGCCACCTAATAGCTGTGTGATCTTGTACAAGTCACCTAACATTTCTATACCACTGTTTCCCCATTTGTATAATTAGGATAACAATAGCATCTACCTCAGAAGGTAGTTATAAGAATCCAATGATTAAATACCTACAAAGCACTAGAATTGTTCCTGGCACATAATAATTTCTATATTGGTGTTCGTTAAACAAAATCTTTATTTACAACAGTTTGACATACTTGTTAAAGAAAAAATTGTATGGCTTTCAGATTTGTTTCTTGCCTCCCAGCAATTTTATGTAAATACTTCCTCATAATTAATAATTCATATTCCTTCCTCAAATTCTTCCATTTGAACTTGAATTAAAATGTTCCCTCTTTACACAGTTTACAATCATCATAGACATTATTATTGGTTAAATAAAGTCAGTCATTTAAAATATATGTGTGTGTGTGTGTGTGTGTGTGTGTGTGTGTGTGTGTGTGTATTCCTTTTTTTCTGATACTGTGCTACTTCTGTCTTCTCTTCTTATTGGAAACGAATTTCTTCCCTAGCAGAATACTTTTTCATCCACATACTTCTCCTTTGGAAGACCTGCCTTCTTCTAGTGTTTCATTAGCATTAGTAAAGAGTTGTAAAAACTCTATTTCTTGCTTCTCTGGGTCACTTCCAAACCATCCTCACTCTCTCCCTTTAGAAGATGAACTTAAAATTCCAAAAAAGCTGGCCCAGTTAGGTTCAAGAAGATGATGGACAAGATGATACAAAGAGAAACAAAGATATTATAATTGAGAACCAACTCGGGTCATGAATCGGCGAGAGTTGCTCATCTGTACAGCTGCCTGGGTTCCTGTTGGTCTTTTATGCCTAGTGTATCATGAAAGAGACCTCCATTATCTAAGATGTGGAATCAGCCTAAGTGTCCATCAATAGATGAATGGATAAGAAAATGTGGTATATATACACAATGGGATAGCATTCAGCCATTAAAAAAAATGAAATCATGTCATTTGTATTAACATGGATGGAACTGGAGGTCATTATCTTAAGTGAAATAAACCAGACACAAAAAGATAAATATCACATGTTCTCACTTGTATATGGGAGGTAAAAAATTTGAGCACATGGAAGTAGAAAGTAGAAGAATAGATAAGAGCAACTGGGAAGGATGGTGGAGGAGGATGAAGCGAAGTGAATTAAAGGGTACAAACATATAGTAAGATAGAATAAATTCAGTGTTTGATAGCAGGGTTGGATGACTATACTTAATAAAAATGTATTGTACTTGGGTGATGGACACCCCAAATACCCTAACTTGATCACCACATATTATATAAATGTAACAAATTTTCTGACATACCCCATAAATTTGCACAAATTAGAAAAAGAGATCTCCATTATCTAAGAGAATCTCCCTTTCTTTCAATCAAAGGGCCTAATTAACATGGCCTGTGGTTCACTGGCACCTGGCTCAGAGTCCCTACCACCCCAACTCCTATCAGAAAGATGGTACAGCATAGTAGGTAAGGACAGGAGTTCTGACAGCAGACACCTGGGATGTAAGCCCAACTCTAATATAGATCAGTATGTAAACTCCACTCTGTGCTTTGCTTTCCTCAACCATAAAACAGAGATAACAGTACTAACCCCTAGGATTGTTGTAAGGATTAAATGTGTTAATACTTGTGGCATGCTTAGGAAAGTGCCTGACACATAGTAAGTACCCAACAAAATGAAATAATATTAGTAGTATCATTATTAACAGAAGCAATGAGCACCTTCAAAATCTATACAGTTGACCCATCCAACAATTTAGATTCAAGCTTCCTTGAGCTCCTCCAACGCATTAGACTTTATTCTCCCTCCACTTCAGCTACCCACTTTCATGGACACACCCTGTACTTTGGGCCTTTACACCTTCCATATTGTGTTGATAGCAGGGTTTTCTAAATAGATTAACTGCCTTGAATTTTGATTGTCCACTATTCCCCAGATTCTTTCAACATTCTCTTCATGTTACACGATGATTGTTCTAACACATAAATCTGGCCACATCTACTCCATATCACTCCTTCCTTCAAGGCACTGTTTATAGGTAAAGCCCAAATTCCTTAGTATGGAATATAGGTTCTCCAGATCTGAAGGCTGCCTTATCATTTGCTTTTGCTCTCATATACTGTTTTCCAGCCACACCAAGCTTTCTAACATTGTCTTTGTATTTGAGCATGTTGCTCTAACTGCCAAGAACACCCTCCCCATCACCTACCCCATACTCCAGTCTTTTCTTTTATTTTTTTTAGAGATAGTCTCACTCTTTTGCTTGGACTAGAGCTTAGTGGCATCATCATAGCTCACTGCAACCTCAAACTCCTGGGCTCAAAGTGATCCTTCTGCCTCAGCCTCCCTAGTAGCTAGGACTACAGCCACATCGTACCACACCCAGCTAATTTTTCTTATTTTTTGTAGACACCAGGTTTTGCTATATTGTTCAGGCCAGTCTTGAACTCTTGCCCTGAAGTGATCCTCCTACCTCGGCCTCCCAAAGTGCTAGGATACAGGCATGAGCCACCATACCTGGCCCAATCACTTTTTTGCCTATCTCCTATATTTATTTAGCTGCTGGCCTACTTATGACAGCTTTTTAGGTTTGTAAATCTATCCAATGGGTATCTTGTTTTGTTTGTTTTAAGAATATGTCCCTGATCAGATTAACTGAAATGATGTATACGCAAAGGCTGTTGAGTTCTTCAGAAAAACAAATTATAATCAGGACTATTTGGCTATAAAGAACCTGTTACAGCTAATGTAGTAGGTACATATTTTATGGTCACAAGTGTCAGGTGTGAAAAAATGCCTTTTTTTGATATTCTATATAAATATAGAATATAGACATTCCAAGTCTGGAGATATTGAAAGAAACCAGGAATTCTGAGCATACAGTGACAGCCAAAAGGGAGTCCAGGTGAGCAACTGGTCTGAGCTGCTCAGGATGCAGGAGACAGACAGTACAGAGGGAGGCTGAGGAGACACGCAAAATATGTCCAATACACTTATCCAGTTGTACCAAATAAGCTCCTTAAGGGGCTAATGATGTTGTGTTCATTTTTGATCACCAGCAAAGGCTAAGAGAATGCATATAGTATTAACGGATATTTAGTAACTATTTGTTAAAGACATGAATATAAGACAGAATAAACAAACACAGTAAAGGAACAAGAACAGACCACCTAAGTCAAAATAGCCACTTTTATCCTCAGTATTGTTCCTGCTCTGGCTGCCACAGAAGCAAACTAGTCGACACAAGACAAATCAAGCTAGTGATTTAATAAATTTCAGCGTAAATCATACCAGTATTGGTAAATAACATCATCAGGCACTCATCATGACAGTTAAAGCAGCAACACAGAAAAAGTTTCCAAGTGTTTCCAATGTGCAATGATCAGATAACACATAAAGGAACATAAATATCCACGTTATATACGTACACACATATATAAATGCAATTCCTGCATTTATACAGTATTCCCTCCAATATCTAGTTAGACAATAATGTTTAATAATAGCAAGTACATTATTTAAACAATTATAAAATCAAGGCAATAATGAAAGAAAGATTAATCATTTTTTTCTCTAACTTAAGCATAGATAATCTGACCATTAAGATTGATTGATAAATTTGAACACAGCTGAACACATATTAGATCAAATTGATTCTGATAGTTAAGCTATGAATTTGTTGTAGGATGGTTTTAAATTAAGATAGTGCTTGAATGCTCAGCAGTATGTTTGAAAAAGAAAACAAAGAAATGTTTTTGAGAAATGTATTAATTTCTTAAAACACAAGATTTTAATTGAATTAAGTTGAGGTATTTCTAGTATTTTTCTTCATTTTCATTTTGCATCTATCTGTTGGACAGAACACTAACACTAAACAGTTTTTTTAAATCTCTTCATTAAAGTTATTTGAATCATATCATGAGTGACTTTTTCATTTAAAATTAGACTTCCAGTGTCCTTCACTTAGGAAGAATGTTGTGAAAACCAGGCCATCTGCTAAGGTGGCTACAGTTACAAGTGGCCCTCAGAAGGTGGTTGGCTTGCTCTGTTTTAGCACTCTGTTGGATTACAAACACACACAACAAGTTCACCTTGATCTTTCACATTAAGTATCCCAGGGACAAAACCCGACATAAATTTAAACCTATGACGTTTCCATCTAAAGAAGGCAGAAATAAAACGGGACTTTGGGTTCGATTACAACAAAACATCAGAAGTGCCAGAAACACAAGTCTGAAAGCTCCATCTTTGGGGAAATATGGCAAATAATGCCTCTCCCGAACAGAATCAAAATCATTGCTCTGCAATCAACAACAGCATCCCGCTGATGGAGGGCAACCTCCCCACTCTGACCTTGTCTGGAAAGATCCGAGTTATGGTTACTTTCTTCCTTTTTCTACTCTCCACAACCTTTAATGCTTCTTTCCTGTTGAAACTTCAGAAGTGGACTCAGAAGAAAGAGAAAGGGCAAAAGCTCTCGAGAATGAAGGTGCTTTTAAAACATCTCACCTTAGCCAACCTGTTGGAGACTCTGATCGTCATGCCGCTAGACGGAATGTGGAACATTACAGTCCAGTGGTACGCTGGAGAGTTCCTCTGCAAAGTCCTCAGTTACCTGAAGCTTTTCTCCATGTACGCCCCAGCCTTCATGATGGTGGTGATCAGCCTGGACCGCTCCCTGGCCATCACGAGGCCCCTAGCTGTGAAAAGCAACAGCAAGCTCGGACAGTCCATGATTGGCCTGGCCTGGCTCCTCAGCAGTGTCTTTGCTGGACCACAGGTAGGCCGTCATTCATAAACTTGTTACGATATGGTGATCACAGATTCCCTATCTAAACTTGAGTAAAGGTCTTATCAAAAGAAGTACTATATGAGCTTTAAGAGCCTAGGCTCTGAAAATTCAAAAGTGGAGTTCAATCCTGGCTCTGCTCTGTTACCTTGGGCAAATTTCTTAACCTCTCTGGGTTTCGGTTCCCTCATTGATAAAAACGGGGGGTAATGCCTTCTTCCTGCCGCTTTTGTGATGATTAAATGAACAATATATTAAAGTGGCTAACATAATTTCTGGTGGGTAGTAAATACTCCCCCGAAAGATAGCTATTCTCAAAATCGACCTTATCCTCATCCTATTTTTCCATCTATTTTTCCTTTTGCTCTGGTTGAGATGGATTTGATGGTTAGTTGAAAGAATTTTTAAGAACTATGAAATTTGCATAGGCAGAAAATATTTGTAACATTTCTTTTTTTTTTTTGAGACAGAGTCTCACTCTGTTGCCTGGGCTAGAGTGACGTGGCATCAACCTAGCTCACAGTAACCTCAAACTCCTGGACTCCTGTGCTCAAGCAATCTTCCTGCCTCAGCCTCCCGAGTAGCTGGGACTACAGGCATGCGCCACCATGCCCAGCTAATTTTTTCTATATATTTTTAGTTGTCCATCTAATCTCTTTCTATTTTTAGTACAGACGGGGTCTTGCTCTTGCTCAGGCTGGTCTCAAACTCCTGACTTCAAACACTCCTCCTGCCTCGGCCTCCCAGAGAGCTAGGATTACAGGCGTGAGCCACCATGCCCAGCCCTATAGCATCTTATTGGTGATTTCTTGAGTGGAAACTTTAAGAATTCTGTCACTGCAGCTTACGGAGAATTATTCTTGATTAGTATGTTGTTCTGCCATTTGCAGCTGTGTGGGATTGAATAAAGAAAAAAAGTGGGCAATCTTGGACATTTGGAAATCTGAATATTTCCTTGAAGTTAGCTTGAATTTTGCTGGAGATAGGTTATTGGGAAAGTCATGTGACTATTGATATGATATCGCCCTCTCCCACAGAAGGCAGATATCTTTCCAGATTTTACAAATGGAAATTTATCTAGACATTCTAAATTGGCCAGATGGTTTAAAAACAAATTACTGCCAAGCAGAACTCACTGTATAGTGCAATATACTAGAAAGCTGGGTGACTAAAATTTCCCAACAATTCTTCACTTAACTCATTTTTTTGGATATTAGATAAATTTTATTAGTGTGTTTTATGGCAGGAGGAATGGGAAAAACTAAAAGGTTTTGATTTCCCTGGAGAAAAATGTATTATAATTTCTCTCCCAGTGACTGAATATACAAGAGTAGGTTTAACAAATACATCATTTAAAATGAGATTATTTAGCTAAGGCTTATGCTCTTGAAATTTTTCATTTTGTTTCTTGAAAGTATAAGTACTTTCATTTGTTTTCTTAGAGAAGATAAACACAAGTTAGATTCCTCACACTGAGCCTGGTGCTGACGAAACAAAGAAATAGACCTCAAAGAAAATGAAATTCATTGTGAAGACAAAACTTCTATAAAACGAATACAACTAGATGCTAAATTTTTTTAAACCTATTACAAGGATAAGAAGACAGTTGTTTGGGTTGAAATAGTGAAGGAAGGTTTTAGGGTAAAGTAGAATAAGCTGAGTTTTTAAGGTTGAATGTATTTGAATGGAAAAAATAAATGAAGCATCACATATATTTTTCAATAATGGTTAAAAGTGTGACTGACGTTCATGGAAGACTAATTTGGTGGAAGTGAAAGACTGAGAGTTGGGAATAGTGAGAAATTAGATTTCGTGGTCACCCCCTTCCTTTAACTCCACAGTAAACTATTTATTTGTCATAAAACATTGTGATTATATGTGTGTGTCTGTCTTTGCCATTAGGATATACGCTTCTAAATGGTGGAGACTCTATCATGTTCAAGAGAACCTTTTGTGTTCCATATTTATCACAGTACCTAATAAGATATCTAGCAAAAATAGAAATTAAAAATGTCTGAATAAATGAATGAATGAATGAGCAGCATAATAGATTTGTATCACAGAAGACCCTGATAGCCATGAAAATTCCTGAAGTTAACGCGAGAGCCTTAGAGCCTTTGCGAGTCCTGTGCAAGAAGTAAATGGATCTTTTTCAGTAAAAATATTTCAAGAAACTTTATGTATAGAGTGGAGTAGAGTGAAACAAAGAATTTTTTCAAATAGAGTGAAGTGAGACAATCTTTTCGTATCATCTGGCAATGAGGGGATTAAGTTGAGGGCTGGGGTGGTATGGGAGAGCATTGACAATGAAAGAAACATTTCAAACAAAAAACAAAGTTTGGCAACAAATTGGATTAAGGGAATTAATAATAGAGTAGATGAAAATAAATCTCCAATATTTTTGGCCAAGGAGGTTGAATAATAAAATAGCCGGTAAAATAGACGGTTGAAATAGCCAGGTAGGTTAAGAAGAGGAATGTTTGCCCATTTGTTTTGTTTGTTTGAAGGAAAAGGGGAGGCAGGCTATAAGAAGAGGTATAAACATTTGCTTTAGGACATAACTGTTGGCAATAAAAGTACAGCTATCTGGAAAGTCGTTGGTAATTTGAGATACTGATAGAGATTAAAGTCCAAACAGAAGTAAAAATAAGTCTATTTGTGACAATAACTGAAGGGCAAATCCACGATTTCATTCCCCTTAACTCTCCCAGAAGCTATAAATAAAATATTGATTTATGAATGTAATTATTTTCATCTAAGTATATCACAGCAATAATAGAAATATAATGCCAATACTTACGTAACTTAATATAGCAAAAAGAAAATATGAAATTAACTTTGAATTGTTCAGGAACTTCATGTAATGGTCTGACCTCAAATACATTACTTCTACTAAAGAGACTTATGTGAATATGAGCCACAGAAAATGATGGCACTATTTTATTTTGTAGAACAAATGACTCATCCTTATTTTCAGCAACACTTTAAATTTATAAAGCACTTTCTGAAGTTTCCTGAGAAACCTCACATAAGTAATTCTATTTGATACCTACATTAACTCTACGAGGTAAACAGGAAATGAGTTATTATTCCCATTTTATATATAGAAGAACTAAGGTCTAAACCTTTGAAAGCAATGGCATTCAAACTTTTTGGGCAATAACCCAAAGTAAACTCATGCTACATCAAGACCTTGTCTGTTTCTGTCTCTTTCTCTTACAAATATAACTGAAATAAATATTCTATTCTGTTCCATTTCATTTTTTAATGTTGATTACAACTCACTGCTGGCCACATCCTGCAGTTTAAAAAACACTGATTTAAAATGATCGGGGGCTGGGGCCTGTGGCTCGTGGCTCATGCCTGGAATCCCAGCACTTTGGGAGGCCAAGGTGGCAGGATCCCTTGGGGCCAGGAGTTGGAGACCAGCCAAGGCAACATAGCAATACCCTATCTCTACAAAAAAATAAAAAAATTAGCCAAGCATAGTGTTGTAGTCCTACCTACTTAGGAAGCTGAGGCAGGAGGATCCCTTGAAGCCAGGAGTTTGAAGCTACAGTGAAATATGATCGATTGTATCACTGCACTCCAGGCTAGGTGACAGAGTGATACTCTGTCTCTAAAATAATAAATAAATAAATAATAAAAGGATTAGTTGGCACTTCCAATATCACTTGGCCTTTTTAACTCATGTCTTTTTATTAAGGTCCAGTTTTTCTTTTATTATAGCTCTCTGCTCTCTCTCTGAATAAAAGAAGTTTCAACCCTGCAACCAATGTTATGTATATTTGATGAGGTAGACAAGAGATGAACCTTTTGATCTCTAGACTGTGACACACAGTGAGTGTGTCTCATGCTTCACCATGCTCTATGCATAAGCACATTGACAGTGGTGCATCTTGCCATAGCTAATTTACATTAAAAGGGCAAATTTAATCTTCATCCTTTGATGTACATATTGATTTTTTATCACTTGGGTAATTCATACTTCAATTGAAAAAAAAAACTAACAAACTAGTTGTCACAACTCAGGCCTGCGAACCTGGGAATTGACGATATTTTGCTAGAGCTCAAAATGATCAAATTTCAAATTGGCCACCTTCCTGATTTTCTACCTTCCTGATTATGAACCTTGGAAGCTAAGTTCTATGATGGTTTGTGTATTTTGGAAGTTTCTCCATAGCATAGCATAGAAACTTTAAAATTTTTTGTTAGTAATAGCATTTAAAAAAAAAAAATCCTACGTGCAGCCCCAATAAATGAAACAGATATAAGTGAAGCTGCTCTGGTTAAAATAGGGTGAAGGGGAGACTGGTCCTCCACTTTGTAGCACAATATTTGGCATATTGTACATATGCGATAGGTATTTATTGAACTTAACCTGCTTGTCAAGTTCAATAGTGTGTTCCATACCAGTAAATGCTCTACGTGTCAAGGCAGCACTCCACACATCTTCAGGCCACACATCTTTACACCAAAGACTAAGAAGTGGCTCACGTTTCTTGCCTGCAGGCCTGGATTAACTACAGGATTAACTACAGAATTAACTATAGAATTTAAAAGTTGTCAATATGTAATGCTGCATATTAACACAGATAAGCTGAGAAAATGAAAAGTTACTGAAAAAAACCACCTACTCAGAAATTCACGAACTCCCAGACAACGATCATTAAAAACCATCAGATCTCTAAGCAAAAAAAGAAAAACCCAAAGAAAAAAGAGAAATCTAATAACAGTACAAGAATAAAACAAACACAGATGCAAATAAAACAAACATAAACCAACAGCGAGGTGACTCCGAACAAACCACCCAACAGACTAACCGCAAAGAATAAACTATACAACATACAAAATCATCCACTAACACCCTAAGACTTCACACCCTAACTCGAAACATCTAGCTAACACCTCATTCATTCTTCCCCTCCTTCCCTCTCTCCCTCCCAACCTACGTAAAAAAATGATACAACCAAAAAAAGAAAAAATACACAAAGACAAATATAAAAATCAGAGAGAGCAGGAAAAAACAGCAAAAAGAAATAAGTAGACAAAAGTGAATGATCACAAAGAATGCAAAATAAAAGCATGAAAAATGACAAATAAGCAAACTTGACAAAAGCACTCCCTGATCACAAACCATAAAAAACAAAATCAAATCCACACACGCAAGACCATAATAATTAAAGCCTGACAACAAAAACCCCCAAAAGAAGGAAAGAAAAAAAAAAAGAAAAAAAGAAAAGAAAGAAACAAAGAAGACAGAAAGGAAGAAAAGAAAAAAGAAAAGGAGGAAAGAAGGAAGAAAGGAAAGGAAAGAAAGAAAAAAAAAAGAAAAAAAGGGACGAGCCAAAGAAAGAGGCAAAGACAAAAAAAGCGCGGAACCCAGCGCACGGTGAAGACAACCTAACGCTAGGCAAAAACAATAAACCGAGGACAAAACAACGACGAAATAAGCTGTCAACGTAGCTAAAAAAAAATCGCAGACCTTCAAAGGAAAAGCAACTAAGACCAAAAAAATAACAAACTAACAGAAGAAACGAACAAAAATATAACGAAACAAGCTTATCTGTGTTAATAGGCAGCATTACATATTGACAACTTTTAAATTCTATAGTTAATTCTGTAGTTAATCCTGTAGTTAATCCAGGCCTGCAGGCAAGAAACGTGAGCCACTTCTTAGTCTTTGGTGTAAAGATGTGTGGCCTGAAGATGTGTGGAGTGCTGCCTTGACACGTAGAGCATTTACTGGTATGGAACACACTACTGAACTTGACAAGCAGGTTAAGTTCAATAAATACCTATCGCATATGTACAATATGCCAAATATTGTGCTACAACGTACTAGCACTGTGCTAGTAGCAAAAATAACGACAATAATGATGATAATAAATAATAGTTGAGGACATAAATATGTGCCAGAAATTGTGATACATGCTTTTTTACATGCAACATTTCATGTACTGTTCCCAACAACTCTATACATTATCTGCAATTATTATTCTTATTTTACACATGAAAAAACTAATTCTACAATATTCTATAACATGCCCAACATTATTGTCTGATAAGTGGAAATATCAGTATACCTAGTTAACTCCATAGTCAGAGCTTTTAACTACTATGCTCTACCATGCTATGCAATGCAGTATCGTCTATTTCCTTTTTTCCTGTAGGAGGCTGGGGAAGGAAAAAGAAGGAAAAACTTTAGGTGGGAATAGAAGGTTAAAAGACATCAGGAAAAAAATATTTGGTATGCATTTATAAATACATAAATGAATATATATGGATACACATAGAAGTTGTACATATCCTCAATATTTTATAATGATAATGGTTAAGATTTATACAGTGCTGTGTGCCAGGCACCATTCCAGGTGTTTTGCATGTAATAACTCATTTAATTGTCATAACAGCCCTTACAGTTACATACTAAGATTATCTTCATTTATAGATGAGGACACTGAAGCATACCATCTGAAGATAATTACCTTTGGAAAAGATTAGGTAATGGTGTAATTAGTGAGGGGTAAGGTGAGGGTTAAAGACATTATTCTAAGAAGGAATTACATCTACAATTGACTGTGAAGAAGGAAAACAGAATGTTCTTGTTTATGGCAAAATAAAGCAGACGCTGATAAGAACTGGGGCTAGGGATAAGATAAGCGAACACAGAAATTAAAGAAATATAATCCAAGGACAAAGGAATCACTGAAAGTAAAGTGGATCTCTATATTAATCATTCAAATGAACATGGCCTTGGGGCACAGAATAAACTTAACCAAGACTAAAGCTAATTAATTTATGGGCAAGTGAGATGCGGAATTTGTATACACTTTACTATATCTCTCTTTTAAAATTTTATCGATCTACCTTATATTACAGGTATCACAAACATTTTATATCTCCACTACCAAATATTAAGTTATCTGATAGAAAAATATATGTGGTTCATTTTTTATGACACAGAACACCTGGTATAATTATTTTTACCAAAGAGTTGCTTAAAAAATAAGCGTTCGTTAAATAAAGATGATAACCGTTAACTCAAATTATAGTACTATGTTTCAAAGTCACTGCTAATTGAAAGTTTCATCGTTGTAGCTTAAAACCATGAAACATTACATTGAAATGTGGCCCAGTGCAGAGCAGAAAGTCAAACTCTTGTCATTTGGTTCCAAGTCCAACTGGGGAAATGTGGAGGGAAGTAGCTAAGACTTTAAAGAAATGTAAGATTCTCAGGTTCGGGGTGAAGTAATCCTTCCAAAGACTTCTACTCACAACATCTGTTGGCTCTAATTCAAGACTGAACTTTAAATAAGATCAGGTTGCAAAGAATTATGGAAAACTGAAAGACTCACTTTGTAATGTGGAAAAAACTTTGTCTGAATTATAAGATAAAATTAGTTCAATGTACTTGTTTGGGTTTGACTTTAAGATTGATAATAAGATTATTAGATGCTCCCTAGTGGATTAATTTAAAATTTCTCTTTTCCCCTTGAAAATGAAAAAAGACCTGAAACTGAAAATCGACTTTTTAATTTTTTTAACATGTCCAGGGTTTCTTTCCTTTTTGAAGTGACAGGAGTGGGAGTGGAGTAGGCCTTTTAGAAAAAAAATGCTATAAAGTGTTTCTTGCCATATTTGTAAAGTATAAAAAATAATTCTGTTTCTTATATTTACGATTAAAAATAAAATCTCTAAACTCAACCAAAAACTTAAAAAATGAATACAACCTCTCATTTGCTTAAAATATAAGATTTTCTTTACTGTTGTTTACAGCACTATAGCACTCTATTGAGTGGTCTACCATAGTGTATTCAGCTACTGCTCTGTGAATTGGTATTTAGATAATTTTCGATATTTTTAAATCACAAATGATGCATCAGTGAATAACCTTGCACATATGTATTTTTATATCATGGGCAGGGGTGAGTGTATCTTCAGGGTAAATTCCTGGATGGGGAATTACTGGGTCAAAGGTAAATGCATGTGGAGTTATGCTATGCTATTCCCTTCCATAATGTGTGTACCAATTTGCATTCTCACTAGCAATGTATGAGAACTGGTTTCTCTACAATCTTGCCAACAGAGAGCATGGCTGTACTTTTTAATTGTTGCCAATCTTGACAGTGAAAATGGTATTTCAGTGTAAATTTAGTTGACATTTCTCCTATCACAAGCCAAGCTGAAGATCTTTTCATATGTAAGGGCCAGTTTTATATCTTGTTGGTGAACTGTCTGTTGATGTCTTTTCACTACGTTTTTAAGACAATGTCATTTTAATGGGTTTTTCTGTCTCTACAGTAAAATATAAACATGTATTTTTGGGGATACGTTCTAAATGCCAATCACAGTATTAGATACTGAAGATATAACTATGAACAAAACCACTTACAAAAAGTTTGCTCAGCATAATTGTACCAGAAATTGAAAATATAAAGGTTTAAATTCTTGGGTGATGACTGTTCTGCCAGGTTGAAATAATTTCCAAAAAGTTCAAAATCTTACAGCCCAATTCACACCCATTTTTTTTTTTATTCACATGGTTGTCAATGTGCACCAGACATATTTTAAGTAAATATCCACTTATATAATAATTTTTCATAGAAATGCCAAATAGCAAGGAACTTGGAAATTGCTTTAGGCAACAATATGTTAGGAGGCTGGCCAAATACCAGAGAGAAAATTTTCAAATAGTGTTTGGGAAAAAGTAACATAAACTTCTTGTTTTCTCACACAGTTATACATCTTTAGGATGATCCATCTAGCAGACAGCACTGGACAGACAGAAGTTTTCTCTCAATGTGTAACACACTGCAGTTTTCCACAATGGTGGCATCAAGCCTTTTATAACTTTTTCACCTTCAGCTTCCTCTTCATCATCCCTCTTCTCATCATGCTGATCTGCAATGCAAAAATCATCTTCACCCTGACACGAGTCCTTCATCAGGACCCCCACAGTATGTATTCCTTAGATTTAGTGGTAATTGTGGGCAGTTTTTAGACAGTAGTACTCACAACAGAGTGGCAGTTACTATCTGCCAGATACTGTACTAAAAAGTTTATATATATTAGCTTATTTGATATGCACAATCACCCTATGAGGTAATACTTTTATTATACTTTCATCATCCTCAATTTACAGATGAGGTAATTAGCATCTCCTAATGTTCTACATTTGCATCACAAAACTAAGACAGAAAGGACAATTACTCCATTAAAACCCAAGATAAGCACTGGCAAATTGTTCCTGCTGGGCCAAACAACAATATACCAAACAGGTGATATTGAGAATATAGCCAAGTAAAACTGTTAAGTGCTAGCCAATAAACTTGTTAATGTTAAGCTGTTTTGTTTCATATTCAAATCTCCTATATCTATACAATATAAATTATGCACATTTTTATGTGTGTTTGCATGTGAAATATTGTGGAATATGTAATTATTTCATCCAAAACTTCACACGTGGTTGTACCTTTTTTTGCTTCAGTAATCTGATGCATTCACCAAAACTAAAATTTACAAACTTATAAAGTACGCATGGTTATGTTGGCAACATCCAAAAGACATGTTGTCAGTAACATAAGTTATATCTGGTATAATATAACAGGGATATCATTTTAATTATTAAGGTGTGAACACTCTCAGTGGACATTCTCACAATCATGGTGACGCTGTGTAATAGGTATCTGGGCAGTTTCCACATGCCAACACAAAATGGTATTTGATATTTCCAAAAAATATATACTGCAAAAGCAATTTGCCTTCCAAATTTTATCCCAGAGAAACTCTGTTTTATAAGGGATATCTAAGAAGGGCACAGAGAGAATAAGAAGATGAATTTCAAATCGGGGTTAATCTGAAAAAAATATGAGCAGTGCAGAAGCAGAAAAACAAAAAGCAGAGGCAATGAGTACTGGTTAAATATTATTAACACATTTATTTATTTAATTTTGTATGTATTCAACTAATGTGTACTGAATACTCAATATTGCTGGAAACTGCCAGGTTGGGGATACCATGGTGAATAAGATAAGCCAAGTAGCTCTCCTGTTGTCAGGGAGCCTATAGTCTAGCAGAAAATTCAGAGAGTAAACAGTAAACTAACAATCAAGCGTGATGATATTTCAAAAGAATGAGAAACATAGCATGTGGTGGGTGTCTTTATATTTTTTTCATATTCAGCCACTGAGCTGAGCCAAGATGCTTTTTTTTAAATGTGCTCACTCTGATTGACTGCTTTATTACTTACATGTCACTAAGGTTTACAAATATTGAAGATTAAATGAAACAGCATGTGAAAAGAGCAAGGCCCATGGCAAGGCACATAGTAAATGGTAATTAGTTTTGTCTAACCAAAAATTCATGACTAATCTTTAATCAGCAAATTACTTATTTTAACATTTCTGCTCAAAAGTTAATTTTATAATTAAAACATGGTACATGTAAAAGATTTTCCTCTATATTTCCACTCTTTGGTGATCAATGAATAAGAAGTTGCCAAATGACTATTTCTGAAT